GGCAGGACACACCCCTACAGACAAAACCCAAGACAGCCCACAGTGATGAGCTCAAAGCCAAGTCTCTGCTTAGCCATGCAGCTGAGTGAGCCTGGTAAAGCTTTGAACAGGACCACGCGGAGGTTAAACATTTTATACCAAAACTGCGTCTCTCACTAACAACTGCGCCCTGTAAGTGACTCAGGGTGCAGGCATTATTTTCTCTGTGCCTCCTGGGAACAAGAACCACCACCCCAAAGAAGGTGGTGCACATTCCCCAGCAGATACAGAGTCCCTAGCAGGCGCTGAATTCAGGGCTCCCTGAGGGCCAGCTGCAAGAGACACAATTACAGAACTAGAAAACCCATGGGGCTGGGATTGTGGCTCAGCTGTAGAGTGCTCGCCTAGCACATGTGAGGCCCTAGGTTCGATCCTCGGCACCACATAATAATGAAATAAAGATAATGTGTCTTAATAAACTAAAAAATAATAAATAAATAAATAAAAAGAACTAGAAAACCCAGAAATGTAAAATAATCAGAAAACCCAGTGGTTAGCCAGGCACGATGGTGCGTGCCTGCACTCCCAGCAATTCAGGAGACTGAATCAGCAGAATCAGAGTTTGAGGGCAGCCTGCACAACTTAGCAAAACCTGACTCAGAATTTAAAAATGAATACAAAGACACAGGGATGCAGCTCACGGGTAGAGCATTTGCTTAGCATGCATGAGGCCCTGGGTTCCATCCCCAACAGTGTCAAAAAAAAGAATGAAAAGAACAAAAGGCCAAAAACTTATGGTCAGAGGCAGCTGGGCATGGTGGTGCATGCCTGTAATCCCAGCGACTCTGGAAGGCTAAAGTAGGAGGATTGCAAATTCGAGGCCAGCCTCAGCAACTTAGGAAGCCCTAAGCCACTTAAGGAGATTTTGTTTTGTCTCAAAAAAAGAAAAAAAAAAATTTTAAAAAGGGCTGGAAACATGGTTCAGTGGTAAAATGCCCCTGGGTTCAATCCCTGGTCCCAAGAAAAGCCCTGTGGGTAGAAAGACACAGCTGAGCAGGGCTCCTGAGGCCTGGAGCGGGCGCTGCACACACTGCTATCCCATGCCTGGCCCTGCTACCCCAGTTCTGCCCTGTCCCTGCCAGGGGGTAGTTGGCCAGGGTTCATATGGCCTCCTGGGGACCTCTGACCCCACTCCAGCCCTCCCTCTGTGGCTCTTGTCAGAGCAGAAACTCCATCTCTACTCATGGAATTATCTGATGAGGTCCAGTCTCCCCTCAAAGCTGAAGTCCTCGGCGTACATTACTGTCATTAAAAATTTCGTGTATAGCCAGGTGTCTTAGGGCACCTGAGCCAGCGACAGGACAAGGTGGGAGGACCCTGGGTCCTGGGAGCTGAGGACAGGGCTGGGTGCCCAGGCAGGCCAGCACAGCCAGTATCTGCAGATGGTCCCAGAGGACCTGAGGAGGTGCATACAGTTCTTCCAAGGACTCAGCAGGTTGAACATGGAAGCCAAAGTGCCACCAGCAAAATGTGACAAGGACAAACAGCATAGGACCACAGGGAGGCTATGGACACCTTGTCCTGTTGCTGGTCACCACCTGGCCACCTCCAGGAAGGGCCAGCCAGCAGCTTCCTATTCCAGCTTTGTCCCACTCTGCCCGCAGCGCCAACCCTTCCAGTTTCCTCCCTGGCAATAGTTCAGCCACAGCAGGGGCAACACACAGCAGAGGACCACACAGACCTGGCCGGCGCTCCACAGAGCAGTGCCCAGGCCAGGACGCAGGTGCCCTGGGGCCCTTACCTCCGGAGCGCATGAGGGAGGCCTTGATGCACAGGCAGCGGTTCACGTGCTCGCCCGCCCTCTGCGGCTGCTTGTAGATGTACTCGTACTCCACCGCCTGGTTGGGGCCACGGTGTAGGACATATTTGTAAGGGATGGCTCTGTCCAGGCTCCCCCGGGGAATTACAATGCTGCCCTCGATGAGAGACCCGTTCTCCTGCAAGTCCCTGCATATCAACAGACACCAGCGCGTTATCCAGAAGGCTTAACTCAGAAGACTGCATTCGCAAACACACAGGGAACACAGACCCAAAGGTACAGCGGACACTGACCAAGACGCATGTCTAAAACAGAACAAGTGCCCGGCAAACAACACAAAGAAATGCATGCTGGGACTATCACACACACTCCCCAGGGAGCAGGGGCCCGGGACTGGCTGATCACCTCTAGCACATGCCTGGGGGGACCTGGGACCAGGGACTCGCTGATCACCTCTAGCACATTCCTGGGGGGGCCTGGGACCCGGGACTCGCTGATCACCTCTAGCACACTGGGGGTACGTGGGGACCAGGGAATCACTGATCACCCAGGGGAACCGGGCACTTGGGAACTCACTGATCACCTCTAACACACTCCCAGGGGACTGGGGACGGGGACTCACTCGACGTAGAACATCTCGCAAGCGTCACTCCACCCGGGACGTCCGAGCTCCTCTCCTCCCCTGATGAACACGGTGTGCAGCTCGGGGTCAAAGGCGAAGTGCTTGGAGATGATGGCGTGGAAGTACACGGTGACCCCCTCCTCGGGGCTCAGCAAGCTGGAAGAGCCAAGGGAGCAATGTGGATGCCCACCTCCTCCTTTCTCTCCTGCTCTCCATCACACCTGGCCCCTGCCCACCACGAGCGCTGAAGCCGAGGAGCAGAGGGTCAGCAGGAGCAGCCAGCATCCTCTGCGCTTGGCCGGGCCTGGTACCTTGGGGAAGGGGCCTGATACCTCAAGGTCATGGCTTGGTACCTGGGGGCCCGGGCTTGGTACCTGGGGGCATGGCTTGGTCCCTGGGAACGTGGCCTGGTACCTCAGGGGCATGGCCTAGTACCTCGGGGCATACTTTCGTACCTGGGAGCATGACTTGGTCCCTGAGGGGACAGCCTGGTATCTCAGGGAGATGGCCTAGTACCTGGGGGCGTGGCCTGGAACCTCAGGGCAGGGCCTGGTACCTGGGGGGCGCGGCCTGCGAGCTGGCCTTCTGGTTCTTCTGCTCCTTCTCCTTTTTCACAGCAGCTGCGGAATTTCTGTCACTCCCTTCCGGTTTCCTAGGGTCTGTGGGCTCTGAGCTGTTTTCGCCCGCCTTTCTTCCAGGAGCAGCCAACCTGTCCCTGGTCTCACCTTCCTAGAACAAGTAACCAAGCCCCAAACTGAAAGCAGGGACTTCCCGCCTGCCCCTCAGCCATGCACCTCACAGGTAGACCGTCCAGTCCTGCCAGCCCACTCCCATGGCCTTGGAGCACCCTTCCCCAGTCCTGTCCCGGCTTCTCCTCCCTCTCTCACGCCTGGGACCCTAGTTCCTTCCCCTGATAACAGGCCACCACAAGCCACCCCAGGGTCTTGGCACGCCCATACTTTTGTCTGGACCTGTCCCCAGGGAACCCAGGGCTCGCCCCTCAGTCCCTCTAGCCTCTGCTCCCCCAGCCCCACCCTGGAGGCCTCACCCAGCGACCCAGCTGAGGGGCCACCTTCCCTTGAGGCACAACCTGCACATCCCCGGGGACCCCCCACATTCGACTCTTTCCCAGCCTCAGTCTCCCCCTCCGGCATGGGAACCCCCTACAGGCAGGCTGGGTCTCCTACGCACTGTCCCTAGCACTCCACAAACATGGGCCCCACACCAGACGGAAGACAGGCTGGCCGCGGGCTGCAGCAGGGAGGGCCAGAAGGCCGAGCAGTGTGCCCCAGGCCCAGCCCGTCAGGAAACCTGTACCTGGCGGTGTTCCTTGGCAGCAGGGGGACTGACCGAGATGGGCACCAGCCTTCAACTGCGTGTGGGGTCAGCAGTCCTTTCCCGCCCCCAGGGCCCAAGTCCCGGCTGCCCTCCCAGATAAGGAAACACGTCTCACCCCCCCCACACACACACCACAGGGGCTAGGGCCAGCAGCTGCCACGCCCCCATCCCTCACACTCACCCCAGAGGCTGGGACCCCCGCCTGCTGCCTGGCCCTCTGGGCTTCCTTCTGAGGCTTAGAGTCCCCCTGGGACTCGGGCAGTGGGAGCCCTTGGGCAGCACCTTCAGCCTTGGGGTGGGCTTCGCAGGCAGAGGTGGGTGGGTCAGACACCTCCTGGGAGGGGCCACTATCCCCAGAGGACGCGGCGTTGTGGAGGTCCTTTCCTTCAGAGTGGTCCTGGAGCACTGGGCTGTTCTGAGCCTCCTCTGCACCCTTGCCCTGGGCAGTCTGTCCCTGCTGGGCTTGGCTTTGGTCCAGGGCTGTGTCCGGAGACCCAGGGTGTGAAGGCGAGTCGGGACTCTGGGGACCGGAGGGAGACAGGGCCAAGGAACTTGGCTCCGAGGAAGCAGAAGCATCCTGGTTCTTCTTCTTTTTCTTCCTTTTGCTCTAAACAGAAGAGACATGTTAACCTTACCTCGTGGGCTCCCTCCAGCCTGTTTCCTCCCGTCTCCCCCATTTCTCAGGTCCAGCAAGCTCGGCTCTGTGAGCCACTCAAGCATCACCCTGCAATTTCTTATCTCGGGTAGAACTGAACATAAAAACCAAGGGTGTGCGGCAAGGGGGCCAAGGTAAAGGAGGCCCGCGAGAGCCTCGCATGCAGTAGCTGGGGAGGTCTCTGCGAGATCGCCCTTGGACACTATGATGTTCCAGGACTTTCCACATGACACTCTGCGCATGTGTCACAACAAGAAAACCAGAATCCAGAGGAGAGGAGAGGTTGCTGCTGTGCCCTGGAAGGCTCTGGAAGCTCCCTGGCAAGGTGCCACACTCTGGCTGGGCACAAAGGGAGACCAGTGAGATCCTAAAAAACAGGAAGCCAATCAGTGCACATTCTACAAAGATGGGGGTCACTGGAAGGAGAAATGTCTCCCTATGCTGCTGAGGCTGGTCTCAAACTTGCAATCCTCCTGCCTTGGCCCCTTATCCTTTTTCTGTTGAGACAAGGTCTGGCTAAGTTGCTGAGGCTGGCCTTGAACTTTGGATCCTCCTGCCTCAGCCTCCTGGTCACTGGGATCACATCCATGTGCCACCTGCCTAGCTGTGGTTCCTTGGCTATTCTTGCTCATTTTTCTCTTCCAAAAAGATTCTTCAACTTACTCTACGAAGGTTTTTTTTAAACCTTGTCCTGCTGATCCCTGGAGGATTTTTAATCACCACACTGAGTGTCTTTGTGGTGACTCTCACTTGAAGGTTCACTCAAGCCTTCAATATCCCTCAAGGCTGGTTTGGGTAGCCGTCCACACTGAGGAGGCAGTGACCCCAGGGGAAGGTCACAACTCTGCACCACACACACACACACACACACCCCTCACTGCCTGCACACACAGGCCCTGCACCCTGACACACAAATACACTCAGCCCACATCATACACACAACACACATACACACCCCACGCACCCGCACGCATGGACCAGAGCGCTGCAGCATGTCCCTGCCACACGCTAGACCACAGAGCACCCCTGCAAGGAACCTCTAAAACCAGCCCCAGCCCAGGCACAGGAAGCCACTATCCCAGGAGGAGGTCTGGGAAGAGACCTCAAGCTCTGGGTGTCTGTGAGCTGGAGCTGAGCTGGGGAGCGACCCCGCTGCTCCTGGACACTTGCAGGGAGCTCCCCAGAAGACTCCCGGGGCTACAAGCAATAGTCCCCCAGTGTCTAACACCTCCCAGAGGCTGATGGGGCCTCACCTCCGAGGAAGAGCACCTGGCGGTGGGGAGGACCTACCCGTAGGCCCTGCAGCACAGCAGAGGAGCCCCAGCCCCAATCCTCCGCACGCAGACCAGCAGCAGGACCCACGCCACCCCAGCCACCACTCCTGAGACACGCATATGGGGTCTAGGGCTGGAAAAGGAAGGTGAGGCCCACGGCCTGGAGCCCATAGACTCCTGGGGGATGAACCAGGCGCCAGGGGCAGCCCTCCTGATGCCAGCTGGACAGCTGCGCAAGAAGGTTGCCCAGGAAAAGCCAGGGGCCGGGAGACATGGCGGCAACAAGGGGGACCCAGCGCTGGCCCAGCTCAGCCTCAGGGAAACAGGGAGGGGTGCG